GTCCCTGGTTGCTAAATATCTCATCGTCACACAAAGCGTCTCAGTTGGTCCAATGCAATCTGTAGTCACGCAGTTTTTTTTATTTTGGGGGCGACCATAAGTAATAATTCCTCAAATTTGGAAGCGTTCGTTCGAAAATACCTGAAAAATAATTCATCATCGAAGAAACGTAAATCCTGCACCAAAAGATAAAATTGTCATTTAGTTTTTCTTGCTTGATAAAGCTTTCGAATCCAAAATGATTTTTTATATCTGTCTTTCTTCAGTCGCCTACATAAAAGTAAAGGCAAGCGAGTTTTTTTTTGCTGAGACTACCCATAACAAGAGTATTTGTATTGTTTTTGAACTTTGGCGGGAAAATAGTATTACGCGTTGTGCCGAATAATGGAAAACGTTCAACGTATCTGTACTTGCTACGATACGTTACGTTTTGCTACGATACGTTACGATACGTGGCTAGTGGAAAACAGGCTTAATGCCAGAATATCACCATCGAATTACTACGTACTACCAGACCATCGACAAGGTATTCTCTAAGCTTGAATACTGATTTAGAAAAAATGATCAGGAAGTATTGTATGCTATTTGAGACGTCTGTTAAAGTTCATCTTCAATGGAAACGAGCTTTGCCACTGTAGCTAAATGTTATAAAATGGACAAAGAGATTCTAAAAGTTGAGCAAGAAATGCTTGCATGTTTTCATCAAGAGCACGAATTCTCAGAAGCAACGAAAGTGTCTTGAGACGATGAAAGAGAGCGATGTATTTGACACGCTTCCTGAGTTTTCAAAAGTGATGCTGACCCTTGCAGTCATCCCAGCTACATCGTGTTCAGAACTCAGAACAGAAGTCATTTAGCTCTCTGAGGCGTCTGAAAACCTATCTTCGCAACACATTGAGTCAAGAGCATCTTAACAATATTGCACTGATTAACATTAAGAGGAAACATTCAATCACTGTGATAGAAAATGATATTAATAAAATCATTGACATATTTGGCCAACGTAAAGGAAAAACAGCTACAGCAGGCCTTGAGATTTCGACGATTAAACAGTTTTACTCTTTTTTATGACAAAACTTAGTGGGAAACATTAAATATGGAAGTATTTTAAAAAGATACGACACTGCTGTAATTTTTAACTGTTATTATGCTCTTCTTTCCTATACTTCGCTCAAAAAATTTTCAGTTTACTTGACCAATTAATTTAAAAACAAAACCTGCAGCGACTAACGGCTATATAATTACAAGATCAAATGACTCTTGACTTTTCTGGAAACTGTAAGCAAGTAAGCTACCACCCCCAGAAATAAAAGCTCCTGTATGCTTATGCCGTAAATTGCAACAGTACAGTTGCCAAAATGGTTCATGCTTCAAAAAAGCGGCAAATTTTAACAATAGATGAATGCAGTCGCGTAATTAAATTAACAATTAATAGGGAGTCTGCCAGGAAGCTAAAAAATTTCAGGAAGGAAAAATGCAAGCATAAAAAGTTTTTTAATAATAAAACCAACCTTTTAAGAACAAAACCAATCCCTTGAGCAATTATAACCCTCAAATATTGTTCTCTGGCTTGTGTTCCCTAATCTGCACTTGAGTACTTACAAAAATGTATGTGGCTTGTGTAAGCATGTGCAAACACGGTAAACATTACTTATTTCTTTAATAAGTTATACAAAAATTCCCTCCACGAATGATAGGAAAGGAAAAGGATTCCTTTTCCTGCATGCATTGCACATGCTGTGTATAACGTTAGACAAAATGTCTGAAAGGCAAAAGTTAAAATGAAAAAAGACGTAAATAATGATTTAAACGCATGCATGCTTAGCATTCTTGCCCATTTCTTTTAATGCAGAAGGAGGCATTTAATGACTCAATGAAACTGCGTGCATTAGAATTTTAATAACACAATGCCCTCGCCTTTTTAAAATGAAGAAACATTAGAAGTATATGTTTTTTTTGTTTACGACAAAGCTTTATAATTCTCTAAATAGTCGCAAATAAAATAATTACATTAAATCACTTAACTTGTTGAAAATCACTTACGTCTGCGTATAGATTGGAATTAAAAAAATTCTTTAACCAGCCTTGTTTGTTATTGTTTTAGGTCATTTATGTGTTGTGTATATTGAATTAATAGCTTTATAAAGTCTGGTACTTTGTAAGTCCAAATTTAATGAATTTTTCTTATATTACGCGATTAATTAATGGATAGAAAACTCTGTATTGGTTGAGTTTAAGAAAAAGTATAAACTAACCCCATCCCCCTGAAATGTCATTCTAAGGAGACTTTTATTGGGCTCTAGTTTCAATATTATCATGTAATGAACTGTTTTTACAAAGTTCATGCTTGTACCATATTCTGAGGAGCATTTCAAATTCAACTGGCCTAAAGTTTCTTTTGTTCAAGCCAAGCCTTTTAAAGAGGCGTAACATATCGCTAAAGTATTGGTAGGAAATGTAAAAATTTTGTCCTGTCTATTCATTTAACGTCTACAGTTGATTGTTGATTGAAGAATACAATTTTTATCTTCCTGCTGATGAAGTTGGTATTAAAGTTCAATTTAGCATACATTAAAAAAAATACCCCATAAAGCAGAGGAGAACAGCGCTTTTATTGAGTAATACAGCGATGACGAGATACAGTTGCTTGTAAAAACTTTAGTGAACAGAAATAATAATTCAAAAAAATTTAAAAACTTCAACTGTTTCTTATTTTATTCCACAAAGAAAATACCCACAGATGAAGTGTTTATTGTCACTAATAGACTCAACAAAATAGCTACATACACAGTTAAAAATACGTTGATCTGTATAAAGCGTACATGGGCGTGCTCCAAAAATCACAAAAATTTTCCCGAAGTTTTGTTTTAACCACCATCTTATTTAAACTTTGCATCTCCAAATATTCTTCTCCATTTTGGGTATGAAAAGGCCAGTTTGGCAGGTTGACGTTTTCGAATCCTTTTGGTAATTGAAGTTTACCTTTGTTTGGATCTCTGTAAAAGAAAGTGCAGTGAAGTTTTACAGAAGAGAAAAAAAATAATGCTTACTTTAAAAAACACTCATATGTAATGTAGCTCTTAGCAAAAATCTCTTGCATGTACTCAAGTTTTTTCTTTTTCATCATAAGAGTAGAGTGAGACGCTTGCAAACCATAAAAACCATGACAGGCTAAATTTCCTGAACACCTTATTGGACATACGGGGTTTTTTGACAGTAAAAAAGCCAGATCTGTAGTCTCATTAAACATTCGGAGCTTTGAGACATTAGAAAGTGCATATTAACTTTTACCGGGAATGGTAAACAGCATTAAAGTAAAATAAAAGTAAAAACTATTTTTATTGTAACTAAGACTGCCTTCACGATTTGCCAATACACAATCCACAAGCAAATTCGTTAATTGTGAGAAAATGATAAAAAAGTACTGTGGCAAATTTGACTCTTTCATTAATTTTCATGGTTTACACGTCTCTCAACGTTTTCCAATTGCTTTCTTTGTATGATTTTTTATATGCACTTGTTGAGAAGGATAACAACGTGCACGAAAATCGTATGTTGCTATCGGTAATGATTTATTCTACATTAATGATCTATTATATTTATTTAATAGTAATATTTTTTGAAAACTTACCCAGTCTTTGCAAAATTCACGATATATGATATAAACCTCAGTGACAATATCTCATCTTCTTTTGGAAAGTTTAAGTTAAAAGGTATCCCAAACGTTGACTAAAAATATTTACAAAGTAGGGCATCATTATTAAAATTACTTAAAATTTGACTGAACAACTTTGCAAAAACTTCAATGTCATCAGAAAAGAGTAGCTAGCACTTATGTTGATAAAGCTCATCGAGACTTATCACCCATTTTGTTTGATTAAACTTACCCATATGTCCTGGCCATGGTTTGCAAAACCAAACGTTCCTGCTGGAATTGCAAGTGGTACGGGAGAAGGGTAAGTGTACCGGTAAACAAAAACTTTAGTTGTTGGAAACATTAAGACCCGTTGATGTGCTTCATCCTTCATTGGACACGTAAAGGCCCAGTCCGATAACAAATCGACTAAAGGTTTGAGTGATTGGACAAACGATGGTGTGCATTTTGGCAAATAGAGTCTTTTGGCTACGTCATAATAATGAGGATGTCTTTTAAATGCTTCCCGAAGACTATCATTGAAAATTTTATTTATTTCCGTTATGTTCCTCGTTTTTGTCAGAATAAAATTTGTTTGAAAGAACATTTCACTTTCCATTGTACCAAAAATCATTGGACATTGCTTCACTTTTCCCTGTTGGAGCAGCATTCGAGGGTGATCTTTGAAAAAATCTCCCTCAACTACTGGTGTGAAACGATCAAGTTTTCTGGCGAAGATTTGTTTTAATTGATTAGAAGTAACATTTTTCTTTAAGCATTTAAGTACATTGGATGACCCATAGCAATTGACCTGTTTTAAAAATTTTTTTGACAGTGTTTTCTCACGTTCCTAAAAAATAGAAAATTTAATTGATAACAAAGTTATCTTTATTTTATATGATTAATTCAATTTATTCATCTGTTACGTATAGTCCATTGATTTTTTAAAATCTTAATATTGGTTGCCTGGTGATTTACTCTTTAATTTAACGACGTGAAATCACTGTGTGTCAGCTATAAAATATATATTAAATAGTTTGCAAAGCTAAATGATGTGGTTGCGCTTTGCTATTCTTTATAACTTTAAATGATAAAAATAGGCTATTGAATTTCGATGAAAATATATTTGCTAGAAGCTTTATACAAAGTTGAAAGTTTTTTGTCTTATCTAATTGTTGAAAGACTTGCACTTCTGTTCATAACTATTTTTGCAAATTAAAAGATATTCTCCACTGCAACATAAGAAAATGTATGGAACGCCATACTTTTAACATTTAAAATTGAAAGTACTTAACATTTAAATTGCCATTATAAACGGAACTATGCCATCAAAACGAAAATAAGCTAGTGCACTGCGATTTTACGTTTATCTGTTTTCACAAACCTTAGTAGATAATGCCCAATACATGAGCATGTTTCCACTTTGAAGAATGACACGATCGAAATACGGCCAGCTGCCTTCAGATAAAGTATGAGCAGAAACACTAACCGAGCCAGCACTGTTTCCAAATATCGTAATGGTGTTAGGATTGCCACCAAATTCTTTTATGTTTTCTTTTACCCATTCCAACGCCAACCGCTGATCAAACAGAGCAAAGTTTCCTTTGGAGTGAAAAACAGCAAAAATGGTTAAAATTTGGTAAGTCATAGTTAAGATATAATTTGAATATAATTTTTCATGTGGTTTTAATCCATTACGAATTGAGAACCAAGTTTCAAAAAAATGTCAAGTTAGAGGTAGAAAAGTCCAATTTGAAATTTTGTTACATTTTAAAATGAAAGTGCTTTGAAATCCAAACCAGATTTTTAGAGTTTTTTTTTGGAAATCATGGGATTTGTCATGTGTTTAATTGAATTCTTGATATTCTTGACGTGCTTGAAATTTGCATGAAGGCTCGACAGTGAAATGGTGTCAGTGCAATGTTGTGAATATTTTTGTATGAATTATGATGAATGTGTTTTCTTTTTTAAACTTTTTTACAAATGAATATAGTGCAATAGACATTTAAAGTATAAGTATAAAGTTAGAGAAGAATTCATTTAAAAATATAAATTTGTATTTAGAGATGGCAGATTTTTAGTCGTTAAAACTATCTCTAAACATTGTTGCATGGTCGTAATATTACGTAATATCTCGTATACACTAACACTACTCACTTATATTATATATTTACTAATTTACTTAATAGGGATTAATGTGTCTTCAATTTATCTATTTGGTCATTATAACTAGGAAATCTAGAAGCTTTCTGCATGCGTAAACACATAATCCAGACATTAACCTTCAAATATTGCTATTGTGTTTTTTTTAGTGAGGTTAACAGTTTTGTTATTTCTTACTGTACCATACTGTCTGCGGATAGGATATTGGTCAAAAAACACAATACTTTCCTTAAGATATTATTTATATTTATAAGTAGCTGACACTACGGAGTAAAATGTAAAAACTGGAAGGTACAGAAGCCAAATGATGGTTATGGATGTAAAGTGAATAGTATTAATCATGATTTATGATTTATTCATACATGATTTACTCATATTTTATATTATATACTGTTTTTAAAATACTATTAGCTTCTGGTATTTGAATAGTTTGAAGCATTATTGGATTCAAGAGTGCTCAAGACTAAAGAATGACGATTGTACTCAGACAGATGAGATAAGTTGCATTTCTTTGTTGAATTTATAGTTATATTATATAGTTAAGCTTTCATAAAAAATGGCTTGATTAATCATAACTGGTCCACACTATCTAGCTGCTTGTGGAAATAGAATCAAAATTAGTAGTTAGTTTCCTTTGTACACCAAGCCCGTAATAAACCTTGTGTGACTGATTTACTTTATTGCAGGGTTTTCCAAATATTTTTTGCTGTATTGTTAGTGTAATTTAAAAGTTCCTACTCTCAAGTGACTTGTTTTAGCTTGTTTACCTTTAATTCCAGCTTCTAGGGCTGTCAAAAATCCAAGTGCAGACAAGCGGTAGTTCATAGTTACTAATATAACATTTCCCAATGCAACAAAGTTTTCTCCATGATAATTTACTTCGTGTGATGAACCAGCTATGAATGCCCCACCGTGGATGTAGACCTGTTTGAATTGATTGGGAAACAAATACAAACTAATTACTGCACTTAAAATTCAACAGCGGAGATTAAAACCCTTTCTGTCTTGCATGGTATCTTTTTCAGTGTTAACAAACATAAAAATTATATATTTTTATAACTTACCATAACTGTGGCGTTTTTTGGTTTAGGATATGGTGTCCAAACATTTACTATCAAACAATCTTCTGTCATATTTATTTTTGGCAAGTACACGGGTTGGATACATGTAATATTATTTTCAATGGACTCTTTGATCCCTTTAACGAAAAATAACTGTTAAAAACTGAAAGTTACTGTCCGAAATTAATATTATCACAATGAAAACCACACAGAAAGTAAGAGTTAAAATAGGTAGAGTACAGAAACTTCAAAAGCGATTGCAAAAAAGGCAAAATAGTTGGCATTAATATAAGTAAAGAAAGACTTATTATTTCTCGCTTGATTGGAGGGGGGAGTTTACAAATTTATTACCTTTCCATGGTTTTTTTGGAACTGGTTTCTCAAATCTTAGCTCACCAACTGGTGCTTCAGCATATGGTATGTTCAAATATTTCAGAACTGTCTTTCCGTTTATTTTGGATTTTTGTGTTGCTCCTCGGATTTTGCCGGCTTTTGTCTCAACAACTAGAGTAAAAAAAATCTGTAATGCTCTATCTATATACACGCTTTCTCTTTATACTTTCATATTCGAAGTTTTCTTATATTTAGACTGAAGAAATTACAATAAAACTGAAATTACAACTTATCACGCCTTTATTATGATTGCTTATATTTATTTCATAATTTTTAAACGTTTTTTTTTCATAGATACATTTATATCTTTTCAAAAAACGTGAAGAATTTGACTGCATTCGAATCGTGAGACATTAAAATATGGTGACCAACTTTTTTGTGACATAACGGTTTCTCCACTATCCTTTTTATAATTTATAGCGGTCGTAGAAGTAGAGTTATTGTATTAGTTGTCTTTCTCAGTCACGTTCATTATCTTATTATATTACTCTACTTAAAGTCAATTTTCGTTGCATTACTATATAGTCAGTGTTAATATAAATGCCAATAGACTTAATGCAATATCCAGTCTGAATGTTCTATAATTATTTAAAATAGATAGCTTTTAAAACATTTTCTTTGTCTGTTTTGCAAATCTAGATGACCATGCAGACGGCAAATCACATGAATAAGTTTACAAAATTTTAAAGTCTTAGTAACAAATCACTATGACAAAACAAGTGGACTTTATTTCTACGATTTTTTAAACACTCGTGTTGCCATGTAAAATTAGTCAAAGTCAAAGTAGAAGTAACTGTTTCCAGATAAAAATAGAAGGAGACTTCAGGGAAAGTTTAACGGAAAGAGAAGACATGGAGTTTAAATTATGAAAGGCAAACTCACAAGTCACTCAGATAGGGAATAATTTTCTGGATTTGTTACAAAAAAATTGCATATTATTTTACGGCTAACAGACAGAACAAAATCGCAATAACCCAGTTAACTCCTTGATTAAAATAGGTAGGGATATAAATTTACATTGTTATCTTAACAAATACCTTTTAGCCAATCAGATCACAGCATTTACAGTGCAACTACACTTTCTACATTCTAATTACTACTTTTTGAGCGTGTATTTACACACTTTCTCTGTGCATTTAACGATAAACTTCACTGTAATGAACCAAATACAATTAAGAAATAACTCATGGTGTAATATTGATTACAATTCACCCCTCAAATTTGAAACATGTTTAGTTTTTTAAACTCTCAAATAGGAAAAAGTTTTTATTCTTCTTAGCTCTCTTATATTTTAAAATACATGCTTGTTAACATTTTTGTCTTGCAACTTATTTAAATATTTTTTTAAGACACTACAAACCGTTTTCTTTTTCTTCAGGCTTTTTGGTGGTAGATCGAAACAAGATGCGTCGATATAATCTATTACGTTCAAAATCTATAGTAAAAATAAGAAAGTTAGAAGTAATTCATTGGAGAACGCAATGTTCACGAGTGGATCTACTTTGACTTAGTATCTTTTTTTGCAGTGATTATATAAGTTCACACTATAAATCATCAAATGCAAGTGTGGTTAAGAGGAACAGTTATATTTTGAGACGTAATAATGTGCACTTATAAGTCAGTTTCTTTTTGTTCCATATATTTATGAATAATGATTTGCGGTTGTTACCTTCGATGTGACTATTGCTTCTACTCGGCGAGAAAGCGACACTGACATCAATTGTGCTCATCACAATGAAGATTAGAATTTTGTTCTATTTGGAAGATGATTGATTATCACTATTCATTTTTTTAGAAACAAAGAAAATTGTTACAAAATTCTACTATTAAATGTAGCTTAGCCATTTTTTAGGGTTGGATCTGAAGTAAGTCTAATACGTCCCAAAACTTTATTCCAAAGCCATCATTAGAGATTATACATAATATAAATCCTAATTAGAGATTATACATAGTAATAATCCTTAGCGGCGGACTAGTATCCCGAAATGCGAGATTATACATAATATTAATTTATATGAAGGATTTATATTAAGTAACACAACGTACGTACATTTTGTAAAGAAAACACAGTTTTTCATTCGATTATCGAAATTTGACTGTTATTGTTCTTGGAGATATCTCCACTTTAGAAGAGTTTCTTTTTGCAGTTTTCCAAGTTCAGTTTTTTACGATCCATTTCATGTTTTGTTGTATTATTTTAACTTATTTCAAACCGAAGCGGACAGCTTGACTCATATTTGGCTTCCTTAAACTTCTATATGAATTCCAAAACATTTTTTAATCAAGCATGAATACACATGAATTAATAATTAATCCAGGTGTCTTCAATATCCTGGCGTATTTCCAATTTTTGGCAAACATTGAGCAGGTGAATTCATTAATAGTGAGCTTTAGAAAAGACGACGAGTACGGTTAAGAACACGAAATCCGTCATTTTTGCACAGAAACATTCTTGGGACAACCGAATCATGTGACCATCAACAATCTCGGTACGGTGTTTAAATCAAAACTCGTAGTCATGACTACAATGTCTTTAAAAGAAAAGAAAGTAAGTCTATTTTTTCATTGTGTAAGACGCTAGTTTTCAGTACTATATTTTAGACTGCCCAGCCTTTATTTTGAACAAACAAACAATAACATCGAAATCTTCAATGCATCTGCGACGCAAGGTAATTAATAAACCATAGGTAAATATGTTGAAATATATTAAAAATAAAATGTTACAATAGGTCGGCTTTTTGTCTTTAAAAAGTCTTAACATATTCTTAATAAATTAGTTCTATCAATTCATTTACAAAATCACTGACAATTAGAGCAGGCTGTATCAAAAAATGCAGTGTTTCCCACAGTCATAGTGTGGTTTGCAACTAAAAAACTTTTTGACAAGGCAACAAATCAACAAACTTCCTCATGTTATTCCCTTACACGCCGTTCAAACTTTTTCTCGTAGTCGTACTCGTACTCTTGCTAAAGCTTGATAATTTCTTGATCAGTGAGGAAATTTACAGTATCTTAACGAATTGCGAGATACTTATGTACTTTCTACTATATATTTATGACATGTACTTTACAATCATAAGCTGAAAAATCTGTTACGTAATCGTTTCAGCCCGGGCTGAAATTAGAGCTGAAAATTTTCACGAATGCGTAATTGCATACCATTGCTTTTGATGACAAAAAGAAAATGACAAGAATTTAACGACAACTAGCGATCATGCCTCGGACGAGCTTCGTAAATTACAGCCCGGTCTAAACACCGGGCTGAAAATGACCATATGATCACACAAAAATTTAGCCTGGCCAACCGGACTGGAATTCAGCAAGGGCTGAAACTGCTCCATGCAATCGGCCCCTTAGGTTTTCATTAAAAAAATTACATGTTGACATTTGTTCTTTAGCTTTGTTATTTTCTTGCTGAATAGAAGGAAAGTCATTGCTGGGAGATAAATATTTAGCATAATTGAAAAACACTTCTGAATACTTTTGAAAGTCATGTTATTTTGTTCCTTCATTTTTTCTTAGCCTAGGTAGAAATGATGGCTTGTGGTAAAATGCTTCCTCGATTAAAGATTTTTCAAATGTATCTCAAGGTCAGTTTTTAGGTAAAGGAAATGTCTGCATGAGAATTCTTTAACACCATGATCTGTTTATCAGTTTTCAGTACTCAATTTATCATTTGTGCATGCTTCATAATGCTTCACCCTGATTATTGTTTTACTTATCAAATTTCAGCTGGTGATATACGAGCGTTAGCCAATGTATGACAAAGCAGTTAATTTTTATTATTTTAATATTTGAAATTAAATTTCCACATGCATGCAACATTTTTTACATAATTTTGGGTACATAATTTTACGGATGGCGTCAACAATGACGTACTATTTTATCTTTGTGTGACGTCATAAATGTTTTGACTACGTACGAAAATATCCCGATCTGCCCCAGTCTATTGTTAGATGGAAGTTTAAAATCCAAAAGATGCTTATATATTATTTTTTAATATAATTATCAAGTTCCATTTAAATGCCTGGTAGAACCACGATGCTCCTTTTAATTTGCAATACTTATTACGTCTTCACTACTTGTCATGATAATAGAAAATATCTTAAAAGCCAAAAGGTTTTCAACTCTTGATTAAATAATAAAATGGCAAGTATCAATGAAAAAAGAAAAAAACAGGAAATATGTAACTTACCATTTTTTAGAAGCTTTCTAATTGATTAGGTCTTTTAAAGAATTACTTGATCTGTAAAAGGAAGTGCAATGTAAGTTTAATGTACTGACGGATTAATTACAGTTATTCATACTGGATTATGTTTTCTCAAATGAGATAGAACAAGGTAAACAAAGCGCTTTTCATGGCTTCAAATTATGTGTGGGAGTATTTTTTAGTAGAAGACCTTGTACTTTACAAGACTCGTGCAAAAATCTCCAAACAGATACTATCTTACAGAACACTTCATACGAGAGTAATGAATTTTTTGAGCACGTTAAATACACTCCTTCTTTGGACTCCTTGCGTTCATTCAATGATAAAGGAAGTATATAGGAAGGTGATAATTTTCAGTTGTAACATGAGCTCCCTTGAAATATTAATACTTGGTTTTTGTTTTATACAAGTGAATTAAATTTGGCTTGAACTCTCCTACTTTAGAGTAAAACATTTTTAGGGAAGTATG